ACACTGCCTCTTCAAATAAAAAAAAAATTAAAAAAAAAAATTGAAAATTTAACTGTCCAGGGTATTTTTTTCAAAGTAAGGTCAAGTAGATTGTAACGCTGGCATTTTTCATAATGTTTTATGACAAACAGTGCGCATGTTAAAAAGCATAGAACTTACATCTTAAGTGCAAAAAATGCTGTTTATCGGCACTATGAAATATTTTAAAAAGTGAATCAAGATTTAGGTAACGAAGTCGGTTACCATGATAATTTTCATAAGCCATAGTATCAAGCAATATATCTGAAAATATCGAACCCATATCTCTTACATTTCTCGAGGTTTAAGTTGTAACAGTCAGACGGATGGACAGCTAGACAGACAGACGCCGGGTCAAGTGATCCCTAAGTGTCACTCTGCTCTGCAAGGGACTTAAAACATATTGTAAGAATGAAATTATGACATATTTACATATACTATATCGAGGAATAATGTCCTTTATTAATATATAGCAGATAAAGGTGATGAATATTTAACTACGTTACCTTTAATCACCCTAATTAATTTATATCAGAACATAAAATATTAAAAAAAAAAACCTTGAAAGTTTACCTTCGACCGGATAAAAGACAAACAGGAATGCTTAAGACGTACTGTTTTTATAAGGATTGTTGAATAATTTACTAACAGACATTGATTAGAAAATATATTTATAAATATTTGAGTATAATATTCTGATTAAAATAAAACATTTTTTTTTAAATTTCCCCGCTCTCATCAATTCTGTTATTCAACGGTCACATAATCAATATTCTGTTATTCATAAGCATGTTTACTTAATTTTTCAATAAAAATTTTTTAAAAATCGAAATATATAAAATCGGAATTTGTGTTAATTCATGTAATTTTTAATTACATGTAGACGACATTTGTAGACAAAATTCTAACAAGTTTAATTCAATTTCTTTGCAGATAAGCACAACAGCAAAGATCAGTATGTAATATTTCGTTTACCTGTTTAATCTTATTACCATCATAAAGATGACAAAGTTATTATTTGTGAACTTGCAAAACAGGAAATTATTTAGGGAACAGAAGAATATTGACATCTATTTATTATAAATACATTCTTTTCAAATAAATAGATCTCTTTATGAAGAACTCGCTGACCTTGGTGAGCCAAACCATTATGAGGAACCCAGCCAGTCTTCTGAAGCTGTTGCAAAAGTGTAACATTGAACATAAACAGAATTCCATGATATGATGTTGAATCTTGCGTGTAGAAAATTGATTTTAAAACTTTAGCTTTAAAATGCTTTAGCTAAAATGGGTTTTGTGTTTCTCACATTGATGTATCTTTCACCGCGAATGTTTTTGACACGTATATATGATTTACAAATTATTAACCCCATTTTTAAGCATAGGCCAAATAAAAAAAATATGTGTGGTTCCGGTTACCCGACCTTCCCTATTTTATACCCCCGACCCTAAACTTTTTTTTGACAATTTTCAAATTTCCGGAATTTTCCCTGATTTCCCTCATTGGCTCCGGTATTAGTTTTAGTTTCAGCAATGGTGGCCTTCTTTGACAACATCGTTTCAACACGCAGTATAAGTGTTTTGTCAGTAACAAATATCACCACTTGAAAGAAAGCAATAGTATTATCTCACCAATAGTTAATTCAAGAACATTCAATGATATTTTCGACGTTTAATATATTCAAAAAAAAAAAAAAAAAAAAAAAAAAAAAAAAAAACCTACCTACCTACCCTAATTTGTTTGGAGGTGTAACCGGAACCACACATTTTTTTTTTATTTGGCCTATCAAACAAGATGGCTTGGATTCTTCTGCTTCTGTTTATTTGTCAAGAATTACCTGACATGCACAATGTTAAGATTGGTATATTAGTTCTGTTCTGTTTTAACAGGCAGATTCAGAAAGTAGTTCTGTGATAATATACTTTTAAAGTTTTGATTTTTTTTTAAATTAATCAAATTCATAAGAAAAGACTATTACATGTACAGTCTAAGCTACCTGTAGAATTATTAACCAAACAGTTTTCCATACATACTTACTTAAAGGTATTAAATGAATTTACATGATTTTGACGAGGAACTTAATGAAACTGCATTTTTTTAATATTAAAATTCATAATATTTTCAAATTTTTCAACAATTGTTTATCTGTAACTATGAAAACATGAATATAAGAAAAGATAAAATAAAGGGACTTTGAACCTGCTACAAATTCATCAACTTTTATTTTCCAGAAAATCGGTGTTAAATAAGGAATTTTAGTATTTTGACTTGAATATTTAGTATTGTAAGATACACAATATCTGCCTTGCCCTGTGTGCCTCTGTGCAACAAGGACTAGGTAGGTAGGTAGGTACACAATATCTGGACAAAATGCGTAAATAATATGATTACTCATATTTCACCTGTTGAGAGTTACCTCCGGTTAAAATAAAACATTCTTAATCGCAAGCGTTTTTTTGAACGGAAGATACATGTATATATAAACAGGCTAAAAAACGGGGGGGAAATGATGGAAATAGATTTCGTTTATACATGTACATGTATAAGTATGTAACACGGAAAGCAAAGAAAAAAATTCTAATGAATAATTTAAATGTAAATATTGCTGTTGAACAGGAAGTTAAATCATATCTATTTTTACATTGATATAACTTGTTAATATGACGTTTAAAAGAATACTTGACTGGATAGAAACAGGAATAAGACTGTCGTCGTTGCTTTGGTTATTTAATTTTCTCTTCCTTTATATTAATGTATTAATTTATCTTATTTTTTATTTTATTTTATTTTTTTTTTGATTTGTAAGTCGGGTATTTAATTTTATATGTAAAATTTCAAATGACCAGTGAGTGAAGAAAGAAATGCATTTATAATACGTTTTACCTTCCGTCATGCTTTATAGAATTTGTTTCCTCATTGAGAAGTAAAAGTGAAACATCATAAACTAGGATATGCAGTTGAAGGGGCCCCTGACATCCATAGTGTTTTATAAGGGCTTACCTGTAAATAATAATTATTGTTTGGTTTTTCTTTGAAAGTTTAGGAAAGATCAACTCAGTTAACTTTGATATGATATTTTTTTCAATTAATTCACAAGTTCATTCACCAGTGCGTGCACGGCTGAATGTCTAGTTTAATTAAAAACTGAGGAAAAAATACTGCAACACAAAATTAAACTGAATGTAGGGGAGATTATTTTGTCAGGATACGACTGATTGTGGTAGAAAGTAACTTCTCAAAGTAATAGTATTAAAAAAATTATGTTTTTCTTTTCCTTTTTTAATTTCTTTTCTTTCTTTTTTTTTTTTTTTTACAGATTTGATAATTTCAGGAAAATCTCTTAAAGTAAAATTATCATCTAGAATTCTGGGGTTTTTTATGTTTGAAAGACCTTGACCTTTTGACCTCAAAATAATATGGATCTTGTAATTTCACAACAAAAGCTCAAAAACTTTGAGATAACGTTTCGAACTCAGAATGTATGAAAATTTCCGAACTTGACCTTTTAACCTCAAAATCAATTGGGATCTTCTTTAAGGCCATAGAGAGTTATGATATGTGACCGCGACTGCGAAAAAGGGTCCAGATGAGTAAAAAATCGGAAGTAATTTTATTGCTTTTTTTAAACAGGGACACTTTGAATAACACGCATTCAAAATATCATGCAAATATCTTTAAAAATAAAGATGATATAGGTCCAGGTATGCAGCCATCTTCCAGTCATTTCATAACGTCACCATAACGTCGTCATCAGAAGGTCATACATATCTCAACAGTTTCAGTTACTAGTATATTCAGAACAAGCTTTTCTTTTATTTTAAACTTTTCTTAATATTTTGCCTAAATATGATGAAAATAAATTGAATCATTAAATATACTGTTATTCTTACTTATTACATATGACTGTTAAAACAATCGAATTGGATTCAGAAGACTGACTAATTATCCGTATACGTTTCCTTCCTGCATCCATGACCTCAGAGAAGAAAGGAAAAAAACATGCTTTACAAAATAAACAACCATTTATTTTCAATAAACAAACTATAAACTCTAGAAATGCACAATAATTAAATATCATTAAGATAAATATGTAAATTGAAATTACATTCCAAAATTTAAAAAAAGGTTATTTTTCGGTCATGACAAAATACACCAGTATTCACATAATTTACAGAATGATAGAGGCCATGTGACAGCTATAAAACAAAAATCACATATGAATAGCAGATTACTGCTATTAAAAATTCCTTTTAACAGATACTCTGAAAATTGCAAACATGAACATCAATATGTACTGTTATGAAATTACAGATGTCTGAATCTCTACTTAACTAACATTCTCAACAGTATACAGTATAAAAATATTACATTTTTAGGGGGTAGTGTGAAATTGTTATCCCTTGAAAGTTGAAAATAATTTTTGATCGAGGCTTTGTAATATTTTTTGTTATACTAAATATATCCAAAACGTATTTAAAGGAAAATGTCACAGAGAAAGTGCAAACATCAGTTAACAATTTTTATACTGTTACACGTTTTCATTCATTTTTAACTGTTGAGATGTAATGCTACTAGGAGGACATGGATTATGCACACAGTAGGGTAAATTTACTATTAAATTTTGACATGTTTTAAAGCAATGAAATTTGACTAATATAAAAGAACATAAATGCAAGTTGCTACATCCTAATGTTACACATTACTGGCAGTAATACAATTGGAATGAATTTTGTGGAGATAACGAATAGTATTCGAGCTCAAAAGTCCATTTAACAACACAATATAGGAGCAAAGCAAACATGGACTTCTAAGACATCAGAGGTGGGATCAGGTGCTATGGAGGAGTGAGCTACATGTATACAATATGGAACTATATGTATACAATTTACTGCTAATCTTTCACACAATAATCTTCCCTTTCATCTAAGAAGACTTTCCCCTTTTCCCAAGTGTGATGTAGAATGAGCAGTAGAATTAACTTTCACATCTTTCTTTGGTACAACTGGTTTTGAACATGATGAGTCTTTAGCAGAGAGTGATAGACAATGAACACAGATTTCCTCATATAGGTACAATTACTTCTTCGGTTCAAGACCTGGTGCTGGGATTTCTGAGGCAGAGGATCATTTACGGAGGGAAGGATATTCTGATCTTTCAGGAGATTCATACACAAAGGAACAGAATTACACAGCTCCCTACATTCAACAACACCAGGAGTCTCAGCTCTTACTCGGAAATGATGATAGCCTCGAATGTTTTTCAAGGGTTTGAAGAATTGTTCAAGGTACGACTTTCCGTCCCTAAACTGCACAGGTGTTTGCGGATCTGACACAGCTGAGGAATTTTATTACCTCTGCGGGATGAATGACGGACTGTGTCTGCTATATCATTCATAGTTTCTGCCGTGGAGGAACGCCATTTTACCATCCAGACTCCAAAATGCCAGTCTGGATCAAATTTTGTGTGTCCTGCCACCATCATCGAATATTCCACAATAATATGGAGTCCTAATTGAAACAAGATACAATCCTTAATTTCAATCTCATGCTACTTATTTATATATACGAATGCTACTCTTAGGAAGTGTTTGCATTTCATGACTATTAAAATCACTGACATTATACATGCATGTAACACTTCGTGCATTGAACATACTGAATAACGAACAATACTTTTACAATTCTGAATAATAAAATAAAATATTTTTTATTAGGGTGTACACTTACCGACAAGAACTCTCCAGAGCGACAAAGTTGTATTTGTTTTGCCCACTACAGTTGTCAAAATGAATGGATGCTGTTTTTTCTCCATATCTATGGTGTTGAAAAAAATGGTGAACCATACAGACAAAATTAGCACTCTTCCCTGTGTTCTCAGCCTCATCAATCAAGTAGAATACTTGTTTTCCTGCCATTTAAGTAAAAAACACAAATTGTGATCAAAACTAGATGACTCAATCTACCTCATATATATGCATTATGACAAAATTTAGAATGTGTTAATATTTTGCTGCAACTATATATAATAGTAGAATTCATAATAATTAGCATTATTTTATTCAGAATCAGTCTCATATTATTCTGTATTTGAAATAGTATTTATACGTATTTTAGATCTTACTGTTTCTTCAAATATTAGATTTCCACATAAAAGGTATTTCATAAAATATTAACAAGAATTACATGTACAGGTTAACATTGTTAATGCTGTTCTTGTATTATATCTCATTATTTGAACAATCATCTCTGGATGAATTAAAGAGCCCAGCAATATATCATGATTTATGAATTAACATACGGTACCTGAACCCTCACAATATACACCAAACACGTTGCATTTCCGTGGCGTCTTGAAAAATATTGATCCCAATTGTTGGGCATGATGAGGAAAATGCACTTCTTGTGCATAAACCCAGGAATAGTGCATTTCCATATCAACTGAGCATGGAGCATTCCCTTGATGAAAATAAATCATTCATGATCATTTGTATACATTGATAGTTATCCATCGTATGTACTCTTTCATGAACACAGAAATTCAATTTCACAGAAGAAATGTAATTTTTTTGTAACACTTGGGTACATCTGTTTTGCTATTAATAGGGAAACAGGAAAAGAGAAAATGTATGGCTGGAATTGAACCCTTGACCCTTGCTCGAGTGTTCCACCCATTAAGCTACCCAGGCTGACATCCATGGCCCAAACCATTTAAATAGTCCAAATCCAAGCACATATAATAGTACTTGAATGTTCATTTATTACTGATGATGGAAAGTATACCATACTTGTAACTATGTACTAAAGGAAAAAAATAGTTTTGTAATTAAATCTTAACTTACCAGTTTGTTTACATTCCTCTGGTAAAGAAACAAATGCTTCCTTGCTGGTGGTACACTGACGTCTGTAGTAGTCCCTTTGCTGCTTAGCTTGGGAAACATGCTGCGTGTATGTAGAAAGGATTTCTGCCTTCTCCTCATCATTCATATTAGAAACTGTGGAAAGTTGATGGGAGAAATGCTGACAAAAATGACAAAGGTTAGTACATGGTTTCATGTTAGTAATGAATGGACACAATTCATGCCAAGTCAGTGCTTTTTCTACACCCAATTAAGGTCCGAATATCGTCCCTTTCTCCTTTAAAAAATTACCGATTTTTTTCCCAATTTCAGTTGCTTTTTCCCCAAAATAAATCTGCTGTTGTTTTTTGTTATATTGAAATTTTTACGTACGACTTATCTAAAATGGAACGCTATTGTTCTCGGTCATTCAGTCTCTTAAATTAATGGTGAGGAATAGCAGATTATTTTGTGCATTTACAAGACGTAGAAACACATGTTTTGTGTAAATACATCGTAAAAAAGATGCAAGTGAACTGACGAAACGTATAGCTTTATTTGTAAATCAAACTAGTAGCAGTTCTACAACATGCATCCCTGATTCCACGAAAATCAACTGTTTCTACACCCGGCAGATGCAACTAGTATTGCAGAGAAATTATTTGTCATTAATCATGTCAGATTATCCCATCTCCAATTACGAGAAGGATTTTTTCTTATGTCCACTATTATGGCAAAAAAAAAAAAAAAAAAAATGAAATATGTAGGACGGTCATAATTATTGACAACTTTCAAAGATTAAAAAAAAGTTAAAAATTTAGAACTGTGCCTAATGTGTTATTTTATAACAACTAAATAGAATAAATGAAGTAAAATTTAGTTATATATTTTACCGTTTAATTAAGGTCAATTACAATTTTATTGATTTTTCCCAATTTGACACAAATGTCGATGATTTTTCTCAATTGTTAAGGCCCAGGCCCCTTTTAAAAATTGTAGAAAAATCACTGAAAGTTTTTTGAAATTTGAAGGTGAATTCTTCTGAAGTTCATTTCTTCACCTAGTCTTTCATACATAGCATGAAGGCAGATGTCGGGTCTGATGGAAGGACAAGCACTTTCTCAGATTTGTAATTTGGCGGTCGGCCTGGCAGAGGAAGGGCATGGTCACTAGCATACTTGATAAGAAACGTTTTGATCCACTCCCTGTCTGTCACTGTTAAGCTATTGTACGGGGCCCTACAACTGTTTCCATGTGTTCTAGGTAAAAAAAAACTATCTGTATCCGGAAATCGTGCAACTTTATGATTTATTTTTTTTTCAACAGCATGCACAAAAAAAAATGTTGACGACACACTCTGCATCCATTGAAGAAGTACTCCTGAAATGGTTCTTTTTTTTGTTTTTATACCCCCGCTCCCAAGGAGAGGGGGTTATACTGTTTTACCCTTGTGTGTGTGTGTGTCTGTCTGTCTTGTGTCTGTCCGTAACAATTTTTTGTCACAGTTTCCTCAGCAACTACTCATCGCAGTTGCTTGAAATTCTATCACACTCTTTGTTTAGGCATGCCATATGTTGGGATTTATTTTTGTACGAATCCAATGTCAACTTCCAGTTTATTCGTGCGTCTGTCCGTACCATATATAACAAATTTTGGTCGCTGTTTTCTCAGCAACTACTCATCGCAGATGCTTGAAATTTTAGCACACTCTTTGTTTAGGCATGCCGTATGGTGGGATTCATTTTTGTACGAATCCGATGTCAACTTCCTGTTTATCTGTGCGTCTGTCCGCACCATACATAACAAGTTTTGCTCACAGTTTTCTTAGCAACTACTCATCACAGATGCTTGAAATTTTGATTAAGTATGCCAATTGTTGGGATTCATTTTTGTAAATATCCAATGTCCACTACCTGATTATCACTGTGTCTGTCCATAACTGAACTTGTATATTCACATCAGAGCGGGGGTATTATTAGTGAGCATTGACTCACAGACTTCTTGTTTTTTCTGTGTTTCTTGGACTGCGGGTCAAAACAATATCGTCTGTGTGCAAACATTTCAACTTTGATTATAGTGTCTAGTTCCTCTCAAGAACACTGCAGACAATGATCACGAAATTCACCTGCTGCATCAAAGTCAATTTTCGTGCTACACGGCATTCCATAAAACTCCTTATATAAAAACAATTTCTGATGGTATACTTATCAATGTTGCTGTGGAAGTTTGGCTCATTTTCAGTACTTGAACTTCTTACATTTTTAAACAGTTCAAGGTTTTCCATCCCTTACAGGACCTGGTTCTCTATCCTTAATATCCATCACATATATAATACTCTGATATTAATTTAAAGAATTTTACAGTTGAAAAAGATTTACCAAGACAAAGTTTCAAAAATGTAATTAATTAAGCAGTAATTAGTTAACAGAAATTGCATTGAAGTCTATGAAGCCGAGCGATTTTTTTAAAATAAAAATTCAACTGATTAAAAAAAAAATAAATACTGTGGTGGAAAGAAGTATTAAATCATAGAAATAGAATGACAATTGGAAACAATGTTTTACGGTATAGATTTTTTAAACTGATTTATATTGCTTAAAAAAAGAGGAAGATAACTCTTCAACAAAAATCAAATTCATAAAGTAGGAATTAGGACTATTTTGGACGCCTCATCTGCGACTTTCTTTTACGTCTGTGGATTGAATCCTGCCATTTTCTTGGAATGGGTGAATCTGAAGCTTCTGGTGAAAAAAAGATTAGCCAGGAATCACTTTCATACGCTTTTTAGGGTAGGCTTATTCCAAAAATTTGAAAATAAAAACTATATACATAGAAAACATAAACAGCTAAAACCTATATATATTGAGGTGAAGTTTGCATATATTTGATAATACGTTTTTCATTTTCTAGAACAACAAACTGCTATTTGTGCTAGTAAACTGTTTTATTAATCCCAATTCATTCATTGAGTTCTAAATCAGATCAACAATTTTCTTTGTCTTGAAATAAAATCCTACGTTTTTTTTACACATATAAAACTCAATCCAATTATTTAGTTTAAAAGAGATTAATATTTTTTTTAACCATGGGGCCAATTTGTTTGTATGTTGTTTAACGACCCTCTCGAGAATTTTTCACTCATATGGAGGCGCACCATTTGGCCAGAGATGGGCTCTAAAGAAAGGACGTGCTGTCTAACACATTGATTTAGACCTTTAGGCAACAAAAGTTTGATATCGCAAAACCATTGGAAGAGGCAGAAGGCAGCTACATAGTACATGTCCCAAAGAGATTTATTGATTTTTCTAATTCTGAATTTGTTTGTTTTCTCTGATAAATTTAAAATTTCATTTGGTAAGTCCTCAACTTTGAAAAGGGGATAGACTCATCCACCCTAGCTAGTCTGGTAGACTGTCTTGACTCATAGCAAGAACCTAGAAACAAACAATGAAGAAATGCAGAAAAAATCATGCAGAGAAAAAAAGCAAGGATTTCAGATCCGAGGGATGATAGATTGTATTTTGTTTCACGTTCTATTCTTTCATTCATACAGAGACGTATCCAAATACTCGCACTCAGGGCAATCAGTTGTGAGAGTTCTTCATCGTGCCAACGCCCACCATGACCCTGGACCTTGGTTTTTAAGGTCTTACCTGCAAGACCCGTGACTTTCACTTTTAGTACCGGGCGCTTGGCGAAGGAACAGTCACTTGCCATGTTTACGTTTAAGGTTTGACGCGGCGCAGCGAAAGAGAATCGACCCCGTGCATTCCGATCACGAAGCAAACGACCTACATCTATTCTACCGTGACTGACTTCGAGGGATGAAAAAAAAAACATTCAAAGACACACAATAACAACATCAATTCTTTTCCACCATCTGTTGTAAAATATATAAACATGGACTTGCTTTTTGATGCAGCCAAACTAATAATCCATTTATTTTAGCAGTTACGTATTATTTCATTGGGACATATAGCTTTAATTGCAGTTTTGAGGCATACCAATTCAGGAAGACCGACCACCACGCCTGGTATGTTTTTTTGAAAAACACAAAGTACTAAAGAATAATACAGCTGCAAATGACAGGACATATTACCCTGCAATGAACACATTGCAATATCAGACATGATCAAAAGAGCAGTATCTACTTCTCCACATGGCACACTGTTCCTTCAGCAATTCTTTTTAAAACTACAGTTTGTTCAAAACTTTTATTTTGGAATATTAAACAACAACATCAATTTATTTTCCAGTAAGTTGCTTATAATACAATCCTCAAATGTGAAGTTAGAAAAAAATGTACTCGAATGTATCAGATTCAGAAACAAGTAATGATGGATATTGACTGTTGTTTTTTGATGCAGTCACAAAGACCCCCCCCCCCCCTCCCCGAAAAAAAAAACACACATACATACGAAATAAGTGTGAAAAATGAAGATAACTGCATGTTTTTTTTTTAATTTCTGGTAGAATTGGAAATACAAGGCAAGGATATTTAGGCCTGTAATGTTTATGGACATTCTATTTATATATATTTATTTGCCTCACTTATTTATTACAGAGTAAGAGTTATCTTTCTTAATCTGATAGTTATATATCCTATAATTTCTAGAGGTATCTTTTTATTTGTAAATCCGGAGTTACTTTTCCTAATTTCCTCACTTCCTGTGTTGATTTAATATGTGTGGCCCACACTAGGAGACTTATGCCATCATATTAAATTTCTGACTTATGCTGCCACACACTGTAAGTAAACCTGTGCTGTTTATATTTATTACGCGTATATTTATTATATATATATACCGTTTCTGAAGGAAATGTTTGTAATTTGAATATTAGGAATACCTATTATTATCACTCTAAAGTATGGAACACTGTTATTGTCATAATCTTTGAATATATAAAAAAAAAACTAGAGCACGTTCATAACATTTTTCTATGGAAACCCACTTGTTTCAAAACTTTATATTTTGGATTTACTAGTAAAATCTTTATTTCTATTTATCTCTTGAATATTTCCATTTCAAACTTATTACACAGTTTATGCTATATCTATAGTTATATATTGATACTATTTATCATGTAATTGATAAGTTGTTCTATTTTTTGTTTTGTTTCAGTTCTTTACCATTTACACAATGAATCAATGAACTGATTGTTGTTTCAGGTTATACTGTCTGCAATATACAGACAGAATAGTAAAGAAAGTGTTTAATGATGCCAGAAATGGAAAGAAGAGTG